TTCCTATTGTGCTCATACAACACAGCCCTTGCCCTTGCCAAACAGTCATACTTTTCCTCTCTCATTAGTTCATGCTCCAGCAATCCCAGGCGTTTCTTTGACACCTTTAATTCTCTTCTTCGCCCTGCTGTGGCCACCCCCCAAACTAACCTTACTGCCGATAGCTTTGCATGTTACTTTACCGACAAGATCGAACAGGTAAGGAAAGAATTCTCCCCTCCTTGCCGTACTATTTCTCAACCACACGTAGATCATGCCTTTCCTACTGTAACAGATTGCCTGGCACCCTGACTGGGTACCTTCCGTTGACAGATGCTCCTAGTACTTCCCAAGGGATCCATGCACTCCACTTGAAACCATAACCACCGCAGACCCCACGAACTGCCGCAGCTTGGTTGGGATCTTGTCGTCTTCCACCCACTCTGGACCCAAGACCAGGATCCAGCTTCCAGTAGGTAAACCTCTTAAATCCAGAGCGCAGGAACAGGAACAAGCTCTTACAAGAGCTAGTGATTATACTCTATGGAGTATAGTGATTATAGCAAACCCCAGAGTGTAGTTCTCCAATCACTGAGGCTTGATTGGTACAGGTTTGTTTATATACAATTCCTCAGGCCAGAGGCGCTCCCCCTGGACCTGATGGAACACAGGCACACAAAGGACACAAACCAATCAGAACAATACAACAATGTCAGACACTACCACTTACAGCACACAATCCCTCCCCTCTGCCTGTGATACAATTAACAAAGACATTGAGCTAACTCAATTAACTCTAAACAGAAAAAACATACATTTTTACAAACCCCAAAAAGTACCCCAAAATACAACATATCCCCACAAAAGTCCCCTGATCCACTGATAGCCTCGATCTGGGTGAAAAACATATCCAAAAATCACCCAGATCAGTTCAGGGATTCAGGAATTTCCTGGAAGTCTTACTTTTGCCCCACCGTGCTCATAGTCCAATGCCCAAAACAGTTCCATACACTCGATGCCAAAACACCGCTGGACAATTTAAGATGGCCGCCGCCACATGTTTGAATCTGTTCCAGTTAAAATCCCAAGGGGCAGAAACAGTACTTTTGAACATGGATTATCACAGGGCCCTCCAAAAACCAGTGGTGAAGTGAATGTCGTCACACCTACACTTTTAGACTTTCTTCCCGGCTACTGAACAAGAAGTGGCTGCGATTCTCCTTTCTTCTTGCCCCACCACTTGCCTGCTCAATCCTGTCCCGTCTCACCTTATCAGATCTCTTTCCCTTTGTCTTGCGCCTTCCTTAACACACATCTTCAACTGCTCTCTCTCTTCTGGCGTTGTCCCTGCTGACCTTAAACATGCCACTGTAGTACCTATCCTGAAAAAAACATCTCTTCACCCATCCTCCCCCTCTAACTATCATCCTATAACCCTGCTCCTTTTTTCCTCAAAGCTTCTGGAAAGACTTGTCTTTACCCATGTGTCTCACTTCCTCAATTTCAACTCTCTCCTTGACCCTCTTCAATCTGGCTTCCGCCCTCTCCACTCTACTGATAGTGCGCTTATCAAAGTTAAATTAAATAGGAAGGTGCTTTCCTACAGGTGTCAATTAGTTAAAACATAACATTTAATAAATTCGTTTAAAAGCTTGCCGTTGAAAATCAGCAAATAAACCAAAAATTATTATTAAATTCTAAAACTATTAATAGTGTAGAGCAAAGGACAAAAAGAAAAATGTATAAAGAAAATAAAAAAAAGGGCTATTGTAGAATAATCCTAATTATTTCTGAGATTACAGCATGAGTTCAAGTGTAAGTAATTAGTAGTGTAAATTTAGAAATGCCAGTGAAAATGAAGCTGGCAATTCTAAAAGACACAAAGTATCACTAGAGTAAATATAACCACTAACTATAGTTTGGTATACTATTGTATCAGTTTCCCTTGAAGGGAACTATCAATGTAACTGTGCTTAGGTTATAAGCTCTATGGGAAAGGAACTCACCCTGAAAATCTCTTGTCAGATATAAAATTCGGATTCTTCAATGCATGACTCTTTTCCCAAATAGTGCTGTTCACCGATCATCCTGTGAGTTGCTAAACTGTGCCTTCAAGGGCACCTAATCTGTATAAGAAACTGTCTGCTAGTGTAAGGTAAGCACTAGTTTGGGAAAAAGAAAGTCATGCAAATGCCCTGCCTATCTCTCTTGCAGAGGACATAATGTCTAAGATCTAATGAAAAAAACAAATGTCTTAAAGTAATCGTAATAGAGTATAGTGCAGAGCAGGGGCTCTGCTCTGCACTATACTCTATTACGATTACTTTAAGACATTTGTTTTTTTCATTAGATAAATTAATAATAATTTTTGGTTTATTTGCTGATTTTCAACAGCAAGCTTTTAAACAAATTTATTAAATGTTATGTTTTAACTAATTGACAACTGTAGGCAAGCACCTTCCTATTTAATTACTACTTACTTAGGGTTACCCCCTTTTTCTTGCCACAGTTATCGTGACACTCTGAGTTCCTATTCCTTTCCCCATTAAAATAATCGCAGCTAAATGCAAAGGCCACTACTCCATACTAATTCTTCTTGACCTATCTGCTGCCTTTGACACCATTGATCATGCTCTTCTTCTTCAAACTCTTCAATCACTCGGTCTCTGTGACTCTGTCCTCTAGTGGTTTTCCTCTTATCTCATTAAGTGCTTCCTTTACTAAAAATACCTCCTCCCCTCGTCCTGTCTCAGTTGGAGTCCCCCAAGGCTCTGTCCTTGGTCCTCTTCTATTTTCTCTTTATACTGCCTCTCTTGGCAAACTTATTACCTCTTTTGGATTCCACTACCACATTGATGACACCCAGATATATCTCTCCTCCCAGGACCTCTCTCTTGCCTTTCTTCCATCTCTGACTGGATGTCCTCCTGCTTTCTAAACCTAATCTCTCTAAAACTGAGCTCCTTGTCTTTCCTCCTCCAAATACTGATCCTCCTCTTTCGCTCTCCCTTCAAGTTAGTGGTATCCATATTAGTCCATCCTTGCAAGCACGCTGTCTTGGCGTAACACTTAATTCTGGCCTCACCTTTGAGCCTCACGTAGAAACATAGAATGTGACAGC